CCCAACACAACCCACCCCCTTCAACTCCAACTATACGCACATTCTCCTTCCCTCCATCCCCTCTACCCTTTCTACTCCCTCCTGGATATACACAGGAATCACTCATGTCACAATAATGCCCTTCCCCAGATTCCCTACCTCCTGATACCCCTCCTTTACACCCCCTAACTCCTTCACCCCCAGATTCACCAACATATACCGGCGCTTTCACTCATAAAGATATAGCTCTCCTACATTGGAATATTCGCGGTTTCCGTTCTCACAGACCAGACCTACGTCATATCCTTGCTTCTTATAACAACCTGTTCTCCTTCCTCAGACGCATAAATATCCTTCACTTGATCTAATTCCCTTAGCTAAACCACCATAACCCTTTCCCACATCAACCCCCTTACCCATCTTCAACTTTTCAACATTACTCTAGATAGTAGACGCATAGCAACCATCACCTGACATCACCCTTTACTATACCTTCCTATAATGCTATGTGACCTTAGATGTCTAGCACATTTATTTTGCTTTTAACCATTAACTATTAACCATTAACCATGACCAACACCTACCCAAATACCATGCCCGTTGTTGTCATGGGGGGCTACAGAGATGGGGACTGAAGCCTAATGTAGAGGATCACCCCTGCCTTGGACCTCCATCCTCACCTCAACTAATTTATGCATGATCTTTTCCTCTCCACCTGTCTTTTCCTTCTCTTCTTCATCCCCTTCTTCTGTTTACATCCTAAAGTGTGAGAACCATACTGAAGGAATGAAAGGCTGGCTTTGTGTCAGTCCTGAACAGCTTTTGTACTCAGTTTGCTATTTCCTCTTCACAACTTTCACTACCATACTAACCTACAGTGCGCTCTACAGCCCTTATCTTACATATTTTGTCCTAATTGTTCATTCAGTTTTTACATTTTTACCTCAATACTTTGTCATAATGCTCCCAAGCCTTGCCGTATCACTGTACACTGCTAATGACCATAGATGTTGATGCAGCAGAAAAATTTCAACAAATTAAAATATGTCATATTAAAATATGAGAAAGTCAAGATAGTGCCTGGGGCTCACCAAAAGGGATTTTTGTGATGGATGGTGGTAAAGGGTGCATATAGTAAATTACCCTCCACGGCACTAACCCTTTAATTTGACCTACATACATTCAGTCGATGTACAATTGATCAATTATATATTCTTTCCCCCCCCCCCCTTAAATATATGTAGGAAGTGTGGTCAGTAATACAGTATGATTGATGGAGTAGTGTGACTAATAATTCACACAGTGAAGAATGTACCAACATCTGCTACAGCATCGTTGTCTGCAGTCAAATGCAATCATATTTATTTATCAATGAATTTCAGATTTGTATGGGAACTATATCTGGACATTCTAAGCTGATATTGTGAAGGACAAGGAGAGAGCAACATTCTGCAACATTCTCCGTTTGGTCTCTCGTGGTCATACCCTGTTGCTATCCTTTTCCTTTTCTTTCCACTTCATGAAGTTCCTTTCTTTCAGCAAATTAATTCTATTTCTTTCATTTCTTGGAATATTGATAGATGGTCTTATAATGGTGCCATACAATTGTCAACAATCCCAAAGAGAAAAAAAACGTTCAAGAAGCATTGAAAGGTCAATGCAGATAGTATTTTTCCGCCACTTTATCATGTTCAATGACATTCCAGCTCATAATGGTGAATTTTATAGGGGCTTTGGAGGGGGATCTGCAAGAGCTCTCTCCAGATGGCGCTGTTTCCTCTCGGCTCGGCGCATCTCCGTTTCTTGGCGCTTTTCCTCCTTGAGGCGCGCGGATCGAGCTTGTTCGCAGTTCTAGAAGAGAGAGATGCAGGAAAGTTATTTGTATTTTGAGGGCGAATTTGTGTAGTTCTAGAAGATATATATATATATATATATATATATATATATATATATATATATATATATATATATATATATATATATATATATTGTAATTGCGGATTAATTTGCTTAGTTCTAGAAGAGAGATGGAAATTTATTGCTAACTGAGGGAGAGTGTGTAGTTCTAGTATATATAGAGAGAAAGTTCGTGGTATTCTGTGGGTTAACTGAGGCGGACCTACGGAAATGCTCGTTCTATCCTTATTTGGCAAATCAAAGATATTTTGCCCATTTTGTGGACAATTTAAAGGCCCGTAGCTACCCTCCCCCCACCCACTCATATAAAAAGAAATACACTCCTGAAGGTGTTGACGAGACAATACAGGAGAACGAGACGATGAAGAAATAACGTAACATATGATTTGAAGACTAACTTCAAGTCTTATAAACGTAATATGTAATTACCATAAATATCGAATCTCTTAATTCCGGGTTAATAGTATCCAGCTGAGCGCAGAGGTCTGTGACGCGGGCCTCCAAGAGAGCAAGCAGAGCCTCCTGTCCCATGCTGCTGTTGCCTGCGGAAGCATTTGCGGCATTACTGTTAACTTGTCTTGGGCGTTGACTGTCAGCTAGAACT